TGGCCTGTATCAGGCACACCTTAGTCTCCAGAGTGGCACCATTGCTCTTCAGTACCCTGAAGAGGTTCCTAACAGCAGACTTTCCCCTCGCAATACATTTTTGAGACCTATTACTTATATAAAAAATAAAACATATAAAAAGTTGTTTGATTTCATTGCAATGAAAAAAATCCAGCTAACTACCTTTTTATGTATTATATTTTTAAAGTAATTATTTTGGTAAAAATTTGTTAACATATACTGCTTGCAAGGATGCAAAAACCATCTGTCTCACACATTTATAGTAGGAGCTGAAGTGACTGTAATCACCTATGGAATGAATTTCAAAAGCTATAATATTAAAACTGCAACAGTCACTGGTGAATTACATGTAGGTATAGTTACATCCACAAAGACAACAATTGGGACACTTTTCATTGTAGCCAAAGAGAAGAAGTAACTTGAACGTTCATCAGAAGGTCACTGAGGAATCCAGGCTTGGCAATTTTATGCAATGACTAATAAGTAGAAAGCCGATGAAGTAGGTATACATGCAAAGATTTCCTAAGTATTTTGTCAAGCAAAACATCGGAGGGCTAAAGTGTATACTTAAAATATACTGAGAACCAGGTTAAGATTAGGAAAACGTGTACCTCACATCAAGACTTTTATATGTTAGTTTGATTTAGAAGAGTTCAAAGACAACCATAATATTTATAATCTACGGGTACAGGACTTGTATTTTAGGCATCAGAGTTTGAGGAAGACCTATATTTGTAGATGTATCTATTTGGTAAAGTTTTTCAAAAGCTTTCCTTAAATATGATTTATATTAATAAAGAAACATTTTTTAAATCTTATCACAGGAGTTAGTTTAATCAACTTTTTCTCATTGTGCCTCTACTAAGACCTTTGGATTACAGTGCAGACAGGAGGAAACGAAAATATCAGAACAACACCAATTTCTATGAGTGTGAATGAGAAGCTAATGAATCAGCTATAAAGACAGTGGTGACATGCAATGTTCTTTAAACACACTTGTATGAAACTCCAGGTTTATTTATGTTCTTAGATATTCTCAACATATGTTATTTTTCTAACTCTTCAGTATATGTAATTACAAATCGTAATTTAACTAAAATATTTATAAGACACTTTGGTGGCCTAGTGGTAAGAAATTGTGCTGCCAACCCAAAGGCACATGGTTTGAATCCACCAGTAGCTCTGTGATAAAAAGATGATAATCTTTGTGTGATGTGTTGCCCCTGAAAACCCCCTGAAGGATCAGAGGATCAGCTATGGGTCAGTCCTGACTTGATGGTCCTCAACAACCGGAAGATCTATCTATCTATCTTATCTGTCAATCTAAAATGTATCATCAATCTATTATCTATCTATCTATCTATCTATCTATCTATCTATCTATCTATCATCTATCTATCTATCTATCTATCTATCTATCTATCTATCATCTATCTATCTATCTATCTATCTATCTATCTATCTATCTATCTATCATCAATTTATCATCTGTCTATCATCAATCCATCATCTATCTATCTATCTATCATCATCATCATTCTTGTTGTTGCTAAGTACTCTTGAGTGGGGACCAAATAATGGTTGATGTTTCCCCAGTAGACTTTCAGAGACATCAAATACCACTGGAGAACATTATTATCTTTCTTCTGTATAGCAGCTGGTGCGTTTGAACCTCATGTCTTTTGTTGGCAAAGCAATACCTTACCACTAAGTCACCAGAGCTTGTGTGTGTGTGTGTGTGTGTGTGTGTGTGTACTCGTGTGCATCTTAGAGTATATAGTGCACGCGCGCGCACACACACACACACACACACACACACCCCATTGGTAACTAAAATAGTTAAGTGCTTGATTAATAATTGAAAAGCTATTTGTTTGAACCAGGTCTTCAGGCGATAGAACTGGTGATCTCTTTATGAATGATCATTAGTTTAAAAGTTGTTGTTCATCAGATTCATAGGGTCACTAGGACCCACAGTAGACTTAACAGTATATAGCAAAAACAACAGTAAGCTTAAAAATGCTATGGAGCACAGTTTTATTTTGTACTTAAGTTTCCATGGATAGCAATAGATCCAAAGGTAACTAGTAACGGCAACAACAGCATCTAAACACACACACATGCACACATACAGAGGTAGAGTCGCTTATATTTAATAATCCACATAATTGATGTAAATTAAATTAGCTTAATATGCAATATGAGTGACACATATTGCAACAAAGTAATATAAGAACAGGATTTTTTTGCATATTCAATCTCAATTTTAACATAAACAAGAAATAGTTTATTAAGTGAACTAAGGATATTTTTCTATAGATAAAATTCTGCAGGATCTAACATTGATCTGAATCCAATTTCCTTAAGGATATCTAAAGCCTGCAGTCTAATCTAACAATAGCAAAATCCTCACTTGCAAGAAACTTTTCTGGAACTTTCAAACATGAATTACTTCTATTTGGTTACCTCTCTCACCTACAGGACTGTCAACAGTCCTTATCTTTTAATTTTCAACATTCAGTTATATATCTTTATTTCCTCTTCACATTCATTGTTTTGCTATTTTCTT